GCAATATTTACGTTTTAATTAAGGTAACAAATATATGCTTAAACATACATGTCATCAGTTTATATTTATTTCATAAAATACACACTACGCAGAGGTTGATATGAGAGGCAACAAGAATACTGTGACGATGCAGGAATACTATTGTTATAAGTTCCAGATTCGTTCGAATGACAATGTGCTTGTATTGGGGGGAAGGTTGTTASAACAGTTCGTGGTAGATATCTACATTAAGATTGAGACTTCCCGTTTGGATTTTTGTCAGAAAAACCAAGGCAAAATAAGAGAAGATTTATAACAAGGTGTTGTGGATTGTGTCAATGCCGATGAGGTGATGCCAAGTAGAATCGAACAACGGGTTGTGTTGCCTGCAAGTTTCATCGGAGGACCACGTGACATGCGACGACGATTTCTTGATGCCATGACTTTAGTGTAAGATGATGGGAAGCCCGATATACTCCTTACAATAACGTGCAATCCAAAGTGGTCTGAAATCCTTAGAGAGCTGTTGCCGGGTCAGACCGCACCCGATCAGCCAGACCTTGTTGCAAGAGTTTTTCGTGCGAAACTAGAGGATATGAAAGACCAACTCTTCAAAAAGCACATCCTCGGTAAAGTCGGGGCATATGTTTATGTGATCGAGTTTCAAAAGCGTGGTTTGCCGCATGCCCATTTTCTTCTGATAATGACACCCGAACACAAAATGACCAATCCAGACCATTACGACAAGAGTGTGTGTGCTGAAATTCCGGACCCAACTAGGTATCCCCAAATGCACGAACTGGTAGTCCAACACATGATGCATGGTCCTTGCGGTCATTTACGACCGTCCAGTCCTTGTATGTAAGGTGAGCCGAAAAAATGTCGTTTCAGATATCCCAAACAGTTCAACGACAAAACGATGCAAGCTGAGGACTCATATCCATTATATCGACGRAGAAATAGTGGAATTAATGTGAATGTACGAGGCAACATCCTGGATARTAGATGGGTGGTCCCGTATAACCCGAAGCTGTTAATGATATTCAATTGTCATATCAATGTTGAGGCTTGCTCGAGTATAACATCTGTGAAGTATGTCTTCTAGTATGTTTACAAGGGTCACGACAAACAAGTTGTTCATATAGATTCAGAGGAAGAAAGGGTCGTTATTAACGAAATTAGAAGGTTCCAAGATGCACGTTATGTCTCCCCTCTTGAGGCGATATGGCAGATCTTTAGCTTCACACTTTCTCAAATGCACCCTTACGTGATGGCATTGCAACTCCATCTCCCAAACAAACAGATGGTTAGGTTTAGAGATGATGATATAATGACAGATATTGTCGATTGAGAGAGAGATAAGCGAACGATGCTGACTGTATTTTTTGATAGGAATAGAACAGACATGAGTGCAAGACAATATTTGTACAAAGACTTTCCAAAACACTATACATGGAATTGGAGCACACGTCGATAAATCCCCGACAAAGAGTATCAATATAAGGCCGACTTGTGTCTGCAAATCTAGCTGAAGGAGAGCGGTTCTACCTACGCCTACTTTTGTCTCATATTACTGGGCCTACTTGCTTTGAAGATCTATACAGTTTAAACGGCTTACTTCACCCTACATTTTACAAAGCATCTCTTGAGAGAGGGTTAATAGAGAACGATGACAACTTATCCCAATGTCTTGGAGAGGCCT